GAGAGAGAGATGGGAGGGGCGGGGCTAAAGCGCCGCCGAGCTTGCCGGGACTTCAAGTACCGAGCACGGGAGCGTGAAGGCTGGTGGGAAAGCGCTGGACTCAGTTTCCCAGCAGTCAACGGGGCACGCGAGCAGGGGTGAGCGCGACGCACGCCGGGAGGCGTAGTCCGCGCGTCGCCTCCGTCCCGCGGGGACAGCAAGGGGGTGAGAGGTGAAGTAGGTGGGATTGCGATAGCCCGCGATGAGGCCCCACAGTGCCCTGCGCGCGCGCGGAAAGCGCGACGGATCCGGAAGTGACGTTAGGCGCTCAGCCTGACAGATGCTAGGGAATGGTAGTTCGGTGCAGTGGGCAGTAAAGGGGAAAAATAAAGGCAGGGCTGGCTGGGAGAGGCCCCGCCCACATTCTGGGGATCCCAGAATCCAGATTCCCCCAGTACCTTCCAAATTTAGAACCTGAGCGCTCACCCTGCAGGCTGCTCAATTAGTGTAGAGAAATTCAAATTCCAATTTCCCTGGAGCAGACGCGTTGGGATTCCCATTTCTCTCTTTACTCGGACTCTGAAGTCTTAATCTTCCTTCTTCAGACCATTTCTGGTGTCAGGGTCGCTCCTTACCCGGACACAAATGTTCGAGTTCTCCATTTCAACTCCTTCGGGTCCAGAATTCCGTGTCCCTGTAAGCCTCTAGCTCTGGGACCCAAGGGTCCGTGCCCCCAACCTCTCCTTTTTCTTTAGGATTTATTTTATTTATGCATGCAAGAGCTGGAGTGTAGGCCAGAGGTTGGGGGACGGTGAGAGGAGTGGGGGGTGTAAGAGGAGTCACCAGAGACTGGGGAGTAGAACAGAAAGATGGACTGAGGGGAGAAGCGGGGAGACAGGAGAGATCTGCTGCACTCAGTGTACTCCCTGGCAAGGGATGGAACTCATGCTGCAGTGGCTGCGGATTGCCTCACAGTGCTGAGACTTAACCTGTGCATCCCCAAGGGGCCCCTCCTCCACCTCTCCTCGGAACCTAATAGTGGGCAGCCCCACAACCCCTCCCAGGAGTGCAGGCCTCCAGCCCCATTCTCTCCTTGGGACCCAGCTTCCTCCTCCATTTCAAGACTGGAAATCCTGGCCCTGGGCCCTTCATGACCCAGGAGTCCCCGCTTGGGCTAGCTGGCTCATGGATTAGGAATGCAGTGATCTCACGGCCCCTCCCTGCGCCGTTACCCGGCTCTCCCCAGCCAGGGCCCCATCTCCCTCCCATGAATGCCTTCCTCTGGGCTAGGACGGCGGGAACCGGAAGCCTGGGTTCCTTAGCAGGAGGAGACTCCAGTAACCAGCCCAGACGCCCAGGTCCCGAGCTTGGCTAGGATCCCAGGAGGGAGGTGGAGCTTCCCCTTGAACCCGCTCCTTTCTCAGAGCGCGCCTATATACGGCCGCGCGCGAGGCGCGCCCCGCCCACGTGGGCGAGACCTCGGCTTCCTCATTTGCGTAGCCCCACCTCCAAGGAGCTTCCCGGACCGCCTGCCGAAGAAATAGGGTGCTTATTAGCATAGCCCCGCCCCCAAGGGCCAGCCCGCGGAGAGCGCGTGGCGCCGCGCTGGGAGAGCGAAGTTCTCTCATTAGCATATCCCCGCCCCTTTCGCCCCCCCTGCCGTTATTAGCATAGCTCCTCCTCTTCCCTGGCCAGGCCTCCTCCTTAAGTGTCCCGAGACCTGAGCTCTCGGAGCCCGAGTTCATGACTATGCAGTAGTCTCATTAACGTAGCCCGCCCCCTGGCCCCGCCCGACTCCCCCCCAGGCGGTAGCGGCGGCGGCAGCAGTGGCGACATGAGCAGCGGGGCGGCGTCCGGGACAGGGCGGGGGCGGCCCCGGGGCGGGGGACCTGGGCCCGGGGACCCCCCACCCAGCGAGACACACAAGTTGGTGGTCGTGGGCGGCGGCGGCGTGGGCAAGAGCGCGCTGACCATCCAGTTCATCCAGGTAGTGGGCCCTCAACCGGGAGGGTTCCCCCGGGACCCAGAACTAGACCTTTGGGGGATCCCTGAGGCCCCGATTTCCCCTCGATCTATCACTGAGACCCTCTTAGGAGGCCCTCTCGTCTAAAAACTTCCTCTCAGTTGTGACCCTGAGTCCCCTAGGTCCTCCACGGGCTATAGGAACAGTCCTTCCTTATGCTCACATCCTAGCACCCACCTTCCCTCCTATCAGTATCCAAACCCACTCCCCTCTCCCCTAATCCCGAGCACCTCCTGGGAGCATGTGAGTCCAGAAGAGTCAGCCCATTCAGCCCCTAAGCCTCTCTCATGGACTGTCACCCACTGGTGCCACCTGCCCCCACCCCACCAGGTATCCCATCTCCCCCATCCCAGACCCCAGCTTCCTCTCTGAGGCACTCAGACTCCAAAGGAGAGAATGCCTGTACCCCTCGTTCTGACTTTGCCCCGAGCCCCTTTGCTGCCCACCACCCAGTCCCGAGAGGCCCTCTGACAACCAAGGTTTCGTTATGATCTGCCCCTTGGCCATTCCAGAACACTCCAAGAGCGTGAGTCTGGGATTCCCCCATTCCACTGGACCCAGACCTCCCCCAGGGAAAACGTTGCGTTTTCCTCCACAACTCTCAAAGTCCCTGGCCAACACCCAGATCATCTCTGTGAAAGAAGCCCCCAGGTTCTTGACACCCCCTTTCCCCCCGCCTCAACACACACTCCATAGGAGTTTCTCAAATCCTGTAAATGTGTTTGGGGTGTTTACGGCTCTCCAGATCCGCACCTATGTTCTATGACAAACCTCCCCAAAGTGCCCAAGTGCCCACCTCAGGGCTCCCCCAGTCCTCACTCCTGAGCTTCCCCCATGGGCATGAAGACATGCCCCTGACCCCCCCCCAAAGCCCGGCCCCTGCACCCTTCCTCCAGTACAAGCCCTCACCAAGTACCCCTCTAAAGAGACAGGGTGCAGCCCTCAGCCCCCCAAGCTGCTAAGTTGCCCATTCTCTAACCCAACCCTGCCCAGGAGGTCGCCTGCCCCTCCTTCACGAGGCAAACCCACCCACTTTAGAAAAACCCTAGAAAAGCGGACACCCCCCAAGCTGCTACTTTAGAGGCCCCTGGGCCGGGGAACCCTCGGGAGACGGCCGCCAGTGCCTCTGTGGGAGCCGGGTCTGCTTAGGGCCGAGCGAGCCCCAGCCCTGGGCCCCTGCTCCCTGGGGCTGACCCAAAGCTGGCCAAAGCCTAGCTGGAGGCGGCAGCGGGTGGCAGCAGGAAGGGAGGGGCCGGGCAGCTGGTGGGGCCACTTCTCCACAACGGATTGGAACCAGGTCCTTCCCCTGGGAGGAGACACTGCCAGGCTCCAGGGGAGGAGGGGAGGAGGAGGAGGAAGGGAGAAAAGCCGGGAGGGACGAGACCGGAAATGCTCCCGACCCGACCCGCGTTCCCAGTTGCTGCAACCGACCGCAGCTTGTGAAGCGCCTAAGTGGGGTTTTCCCGGAGATTCGCAAATGCTGGGTGAAGCCCAGTGCTGTTTTCATCCTCCTTTTCCAAATGAGGAAACTGAGGTTCAGAGAGGGAAGTGATTTGTTCAATGTCACATCGCCAGGGCCTAGCTACACTATGGGAATGTACTTTACCCCAGGGAGGACCAAGGCAGGCAGGGGAAAGGGACAGGCACCCCAGAGGGGGCAGAGAAAGGTGGGGCTCAGGGGGGCTGCAGTAACACTCGCCTCTTCCCACCCACCAGTCCTACTTCGTGTCCGACTATGACCCCACCATCGAAGACTCCTACACGAAGATTTGCACTGTGGACGGCACCCCCGCCCGTCTGGACAGTGAGGACTCAGGGCGGGGTGGGGGGCGGTGGTGGCAGCGCCCACCGGGCTCCGGCGGGCGGCGGGCGGGCCTGGTCCCACAGCGGCCCCTCTCCTGGTCGCCGCAGTCCTGGACACCGCCGGCCAGGAGGAGTTTGGTGCCATGCGGGAGCAGTACATGCGTGCGGGCCACGGCTTCCTGCTGGTGTTTGCCATCAACGACAGGCAGAGGTGACAGGGCCGCAGGGCCGGGGCGGGCCGGGCCTCTGCCCAGGGCTCTGGGGCCTCACCCCCTCCCCCTGCCGCCCGCAGTTTCAACGAGGTGAGCAAGCTCTTCACGCAGATCCTCCGCGTCAAGGACCGAGACGACTTTCCCATCGTGTTGATCGGGAACAAGGCGGATCTGGAGGCACAGCGTCAGGTCTGGGGTACCCCACCCTCACCAGCCCCCTCCTCCGGCTGCACCTGTAACGAGGCGCTCACTAGAGGTGTTGTGGAGCCCAAAGCAGCCCTCCGGGGCCCCGGCCTTGCTCAGGGGACCTTGAGAGGTGGCTGGGGGGCAAGGAAGACAGGAGCGGAGCCCCTCCTTCCCCTGCCCCAGCCCCAGCTCACCACCCTGCGTGCCTCTAGTTCCCACCAGGGCTCCCCAGCCCTGCACGCTGCCCCCCCAGTCTGCCGCCCACTTGCTCCCCTCCTCCTGCCCTGCTTCTAGCCCCCCTTTTGCTCCCCAGCACCTCCAGAGAGAAGCCCAGCTTTGTGGCGCTGGAGCCTGCGTGACCCCCCTTCTTTGCTCTGCTCTAGCCGCCCGCAGACACGCAGTCTGGCAAGTTCCCTCCCGCACACACCTTTTAGATTAAGCCTGTGGGGGTTTGCAGACGTCCACGCTTTGCGCAGGCCTCTCTCTCCCTGAACATATCGTCTCTTTGCCCAGTGAACGTTCTGCAGCAACTGCCTCCCTCCCCCGTCCTGCTATAGGTAACCCCCTGGCCCAACGCAGCCCTCTGCTTCCCTGGCAGGGGCGCCCCGAGTGCGGGGATGTGACCCGTGCCTGGCCTCCCCCCCAGGTCTCTCACGCTGAAGCCAGCGCCTTCAGCGCCTCCCACCACGTGACTTACTTCGAGGCCTCGGCCAAGCTGCGCCTCAACGTGGACGAGGCCTTCGAGCAGCTGGTGCGGGCCGTGAGGTAAGCAGAGCCCCGCCCCGCCGCCCCGACCCCCCAGCCCCGGGGCCACTCACCAGCTTCTCTCTGCAGGAAGTACCAGGAGCAGGAGCTCCCGCCCAGCGCGCCCAGCGCCCCCAGGAAGAAGGAGGGGGGCTGCCCCTGCGTCCTCCTGTGACAGGGTGCAGGTCAACCAGCACTAGCTCTTGGGACCAGCTGCCCTCGCTGCGCCTCCTTCTCCCCGTCCGGGTCTCCAGGGACACACTACACCTCACCCTTCCCTTCATCCCTGGCCGCCTCTGGGCCTCCGCCACTGTGTGCCTTCTGCCCACACTTCTGTTCCCCACCCAAGCCCCTGGGGGGTGAGGGGCTCCCGGCATCCGGGTCACTGCTGTATATAATCTCCTCCAGAGAAATAAACGTCACTGCCAATGTCCGGAGGTGCTTCTGAAAGATGGAAAAGGGCTCCCAGGGGTGCTGGGGGTGGGTGAACTCGGGGCACACCCACCAGCCTGTCCACCAGCAACTGTGAGGCGTCTGGGAGCCTGTGAGGTATCGAGAGCAGGCTGAGCCCAGGATCCCTTTCTCTGCAACGGGGAGGTCCCACCAGGTTCTGTTCGGCGGGATAAGGTTTAATTGTCCACTTTTTCTCTTTCTGACACGTCCTAGGACGGGGCTGTCCATTACTGGGGTGAGAGGCCACGCCTGGAGCGTCAGGCGAAATTTCAAATACGGCTCACCACCCTGGCCTTGTTTCAAGAGTGCGACGTTCATGTGGTTAATGGTTGTCCTGATGGGCGAGGCAAAAAGGCAGCATTTTGTTGCCGAAAAGAGTTCTCCAGAGTTCTGGAAGGTTCTGGCGTCTTGGAGACAGGCAATGACTGCTGTACACCCTGCCTGTCCCCTCCCACCACCGGTGTGAGGAAGCCCTTCCTGCTGGAGAAGGGGTGGGGGGTGTTGTGCCCCGGGTGCACTGGAAGTTCTCAGTTCCAGAAGGTTCCCAGTTGGACAAGAGTCTGAACCTTGGGTCGAGTGTGGGCACACCCCGAGTCTCTCGTGGGAGGGGCCGACGAGAGGGCATCTCAAGACACCACACCCCTAAACAAGTTGCTGAAATGCTGCAGCTTGGGAACCCTTAGGTCCCCCCAGATCCAACCCAGGACCCCCTCATACACTCCACTTGCTCATCTGGAAAAACCAGACATCGAACTGGACGTTCAAATACAGTGTCCTGTATTTGAACCCCAGTATTTCCACATGTCATTCCAGAAACCTGACTTGAATGTTGCCACCTGAAACTCGGATACCAGTTTAGAGGCCTGCTACCTTGACATTCCCTGGGTCCCTGAACCATTCCCCACCCACCCCCACCCCAGAACCCGACTCCACGCAGAAGGGGTGCCTGGGACCCCCGGCCCCGCGCGGTGGGGGCGGCTGCGGACAGCTCCCAGAGAAGGCGCATGGGGGCCAAACTCGGCGGACCGGCACCTACCCGCGGCTCGGACCGGTGCCCTCGCCCACTGTTTTCCTGACCCAGAACCATGAATGTCCCTCTGTATTCCAGATTAGAACAATGATTAGCTAAATATCCCTTTCCGGGTTTCATTATCGCAGAATCCTTGGCGGGCGACCAACCTTCCGCCCTGGGAATGAGGCGGCGGCAGCGCCGCTTTGTGCGCGAACCCCGCCCTCCGGGGACCGGGCTCACCGGGCCACCCCCACTCGGGCGCGACCGCTTCCAGCCAGCCCCGGCCCGGCCGCAGCCTCGGGAGGGGCGCTCAACAGGGCCAAGCCGGGTGTTGTGCACGCCGGTCACCTGACTCAGCCGCGGGGCGGGGGACCCTGCATGCAGAACGGGGCCCACTTTTTGGCCACCCTCCCCGCCGCCCCCATGACCCACGTGAGCCGCTAGCTCTCTGCCACCGCGCCTCTCCACCTCCTCCAAGTCTCTTTGGTTGTCCTGCTTTGAGCAACAGGAGCGCAGGCATCTGATTTTCATTCACCTCCGGAGAAGCCCATTTCACAGATGGCAAACCTGACCCTGGTTAGTGCTGACCTGGGATTTAAGTCTGGGCCACTGGATTTCTAAGTCATCCTTCCACCAAGGTGGGGGGTACTGCCCACCCACCTCTGGTAAAGTCCTACCCACCCCAGACCTCTGGCCTGGGGCGATGACGGTCTGGAGCCTCTTGGCCCCAACACCACCGACTGCCTGAGCTGTGCCCCCAAAGTGCCACAGGACCCCACTGGAAGACAAGTGCACCAGCCTCACCTGAAGCTACCACAGGATTCTCCCAGTGCTGGGCCACCACTCACCCCCACCTGCTCTCTGCTGAAACATGCACCCTCAGTTCAGTAAAACCAGGGCCCTAGAACCATGGTGGGACCCAGGGGACACCCAAAGTGCCCAAACAGGCTCTTTCTTGACCCAGAGGCCCATAGTGCACCCCGCATCTCACACTGGGTCTCCAGCCTGTGGCCAACATCTCCAGTGTGGGGTCCACAGCTCTAGGACACCTATGGGCCCTGGGGCACGGGGACCCGGGGTGCAGGGAGCTGCGTCCTGGAATACCAGCTAACTTCCAGATGTTGACACTTGCTGCCATCTGCTGTTCCCCAAACTTGAATGCCCATTAGCAGCCACCCCAGCTTTTATGAAAAAGTGAGTTGAGGCCCTCCCTGGTGGCGCAACGGGCTAAAGCCCAGCACTGAGAAGCTAACGCCACTTCTGCACGAGTTCGATCCCCGCCTGCCCCGGAGGTGACCACAGGGCACAGCAGACCTCTCCTGGCCCGCCCGCTGCTCCCCTCTGTGTCTCTCGTGAATCCCCTCACCCTCCCCATCTCTGGCCTGTACCCCAGTTCCATATGAATGAATAAATAAATCTTAAAAAAAGAAAAAGTGGGTTGGTTCTGAGGCAGCGACTGGCAGAAACAGCCCCGAGACGGCGCAAGTCTCCCAGTTCCCAAGGCCAAGCCGGGGATCGTGGCGCTCAAAAGCGGCAGCAAGTACTGGGCGCGAGAACCCAGGGTTCCCCCCGAGCCCAAAGGCCTTCCAGCTGCCATCCACTCGCCACCTTGCGTTTACAGGGTCCAAGGAGGTACAGGTGCCCTGGGTTCACGCTAGGGGGCCCCGAGAGGGTTGGCCAGCCCCCAACAGTGAAGCTGGCTACTGCTGCCTTCTGGGAGCAGGGATCCTTTCCTCCCCCTGAACTCGGATCATTTCCTGACCCTCAACCCGAGGCAGACACAGGCTGTAGCATCCGAGATCTGGATGTAGAGCCCGGGGGGCGCCAGCCACCGCCAGGCGGGGCAGGGAGGGCTTGGACCTGCGGCCATGGGAGTCGCCTTCCACCGAGTCAACACTGGCATCGCCGGCCCCGATCGGGCTGACCTGACTGCACCCTCGCGGTGGAAATGACGCTAGCACCCCCCAGCTGGCCCAGCCTGCTCCCCAAACGGATCCTCTGAAAGCGCGGCACGCCCGTGAAGTCCCGGCGGCCCCCCGACGCGCAGGACAGAGGCTGCAGCCGGCCTGTAAAGTGTTTGCTGTTGGGTTTTCGTTTGGCTGGTCGTGTGTACACGGTGTATACAAGTTGAGTTGTACAGAAGCCCAAGAAAGAGCAAGAACGAGGGGGAGGAGGGGGGCGGCGGGGCGGGGAGCAGAGTGGATAGAGGAGGGGCAAGGAGACCCATAAAAAATAGAACCACATCCAGACAACAAGGGCAGGGGCCGGGGTGGGGGCAGACACAGACATATCGCAGTAGAAAAGGGGGGGCTACCGGAGGGAACCTCTCTCCCCTCCCCCTCCCCCGCCCCAGGTATGTACAATAAATAAGATTAAAAATAATTAACAAGATGCGCTTTCCCCTCCCACCCGATGCCGAATGCCCTGGGGAGGGGATGGATGGCCTTAGCAAAGATCTTGGCCTGGAGGAGGGGCGTGGGGGGAGGGGTCCCCCTGCTCTGAAGCCACCCCGCCCCCTCAACCATACATAGACTTTTCCTATACATTATGTACAAGGTGGAGGGGCTGGGGCTATGGCCATGGAGGGGGGACTGGGGCCAGGGGAGGGAAACCGTTACTAAATAGACATTTATACATATATATAAATAATTTCTCTGTACACAGGACAGTGGGAGGTATGGGGGGAGCGGAGAGGCTGGGGGAGGGGGAGTCGACCTCTGAACCCTGCCCTGCGGGGGGCAGCACAGACACACCCTGACCAACGACCCCCCTTGCGGGCGGGCGCAGGGCCCAGGGGTCAGTGCCTGAGGACACAGTTCCGTCCCAGCTCTGGGTTCCTGGAGGCAGCGCCCCGGGCCTGGACGGGGTCACCCGCAGCGGCTGTGGGCCTGTGCTTGGGCCAGCAGGTCGCTGAAGGAGTCGAAGAGCTGTTCCAGCCACGGCTGGTTCCGCATGCACTGCTGGACCACCTCCTCCTGGCCCAGGTCCTCGGCGCCGCCCTCGATGGCCAGGGTCTGCGGGGAGGAGAGGCGGCTGGCCAGGGCCGGTGTGCGGGCAGTGGGGGGCTGGGCGCCCCGAGGAGGGGCCGGGGCTGCCTTCTCCAGTCGTTCTGAGGAGGGCCTGGGCGCCTGCAGGACCGGGACTGGGTCCGGCCTCCAGGACGCAGCCAGAGCCGCCGGGGCCGGCTCTGGGGGCGGGCGGCGGGGCCTCACCTGATCTCGGCAGCGCAGGAAGGTGTGGTACTTGTAGTGGTGGAGCGAGTGGTAGAGCGTGTAGTATCCCGACTTGTCCAGCTCCACCTTGAACTCCTGGCAGGCAGAGGGGAGACTCAGCCCCGCCGGCCCCCGCCAACCCCCCGCCGCCGCCCCCGCCACCGGCCCCACCTGGGCTCGGACCACGCTCCGCTTGAGCTTGCTGAGCGTCTTCCGGTTGTAGGGTTCCCCGGCCGGCCGCAGCCGCACGGCCCCGTCCTCGGGGGAGCCCTCCCCGCTCTGCTCCACCTGCAGCTGGGGGAACGTGTGCAGCGCATCCTGCGGGGGCCGACGGGGGGCGTCAGCGGGACGCCCGGGCCCGCACACCCCGGGCCCGCACCGATCTCGGGCCCTCGGCGCCTCAGTTTCCCTCCAGGCTGCAGACACGAGAGATGCTCGGGAGCCCAGGCCGCCTCAAAGGACGGGGGGCCCAGGCCGGCCTGGGGAGGGGCCGTGCGGCCGGGCCCAGGGAGCCTGGTCGCCTGCTGTTTCGGCCCGGCTCAAGGCCAGACTGATGTCCGCCCAGGCCTAGCAGAAGCAGCCTGAGATCACACCCCAGAGCCCTCAGCCACAGGACGCTCGGCTCCACCACAATTCTCTCCTAGAATTCTAGGCTCCGGGCTACCACCCCGCGGAACTCCAAAGCCGAAGATCCACCCTGACGTCCCGCTCCGTGCTCTCACTCGCCCGCAGAATCCTAAAACCAGGCTCACATCC